ATCATAGTTTGTATCTCTATCCCATGTGTTTATAAAATGAACAAATCCTCTTAGCAACAAAGTATACACATGCAGTCTAGAGCTACAATATAAATTATGCGTAAATAGAAGCTATATACATAATAAATGTACATAAAAGAGAAATACTCATAAATATAGTATTTGGTGGAGTTTAAGACATCCGTCCAAATTAACGTGTAAAGAGAGTGTTTACCCTACGTAAATGGAATGCTAACCCACAAGAAGATGGACACTACCCTTTCCATTGCCTCTTAACAAACGTTTCTTAATGGCACACTATTAATAGGTTCAGATCACAGAAAACATAGAAAAGTATGTACATGCACCACAGTATAAACATTCTAAGTTATATAGTGGTAGATCACTCAAGGTCACTAACCAAACCAAAAGTAATCCGTTATCTATATCTACTGAGGTCTCTTACTTGCAAACAGAATGTTGCCAGGTTATATAATTCTCATAACATAATAAATAGTCATTACTTCACATTGGTGTGATATAGGGATTGTTACACATAACATAATAAATAATCATTACTTCACATTGGTGTGATATAGGAATTGTTACACATAACATAATAAATAGTCATTACTTCACATTGGTGTGATATAGGGATTGTTACACATAACATAATAAATAATCATTACTTCACATTGGTGTGATATAGGGATTGTTACACATAACATAATAAATAATCATTATTTCACATTGGTGTGATATAAAGTTTGCTTTAGATAAAATATTATTAGCTCATTACTTCATAGATGTAATATACAGATTGTTTGAAAGAAATCTTGTAAGGTTATTACTTTGGTGTAGTATAGAGATTGTTATACAGATTACTATGAAGACATTACTTACCACTACTGAAATATAGATAATGTTTGATAGAAGTCATTACTTTATCTCGGTGTTTTATGGAGAATAGATAAAGTACTATGAGGCCATTCCTTCACTGTGGCCTAATATGGAAATTATTAACTAGATGTCCCATGATATTACTACTTCACTTAATTGGAACATAATGATTATTAGGTCGACGTCTTGTGAGGTGATAACTTGTTTTACTTTTGTTAAGTCATTTAATATTCAGTTTATAAAACCTTTTTTTAATTACAGGTAGATCAACAGAAGTAGAACTCATGTGTTGAGTAACTTGGAGGTTTTTAACTCTTTTGTTTATTTGATTTTTACAGTTCCATGTAACAATCCCTATATCACACCAATATGAAGTAATGACACTTTATTATTTTGTCTGTAACAATCCCTATATCACACCAATATGAAGTAATGACACATTATTATTTTGTCTATAACAATCCCTATATCACACCAATGTGAAGTAATTACCTGTTATTATTTAATCTACAACTATCTGTACAGCACAGGAAAGTGAAGTAACCTCAAGGGACTTCTAACAATCTCTATATTGCATCAAATAATGGCCTCATAGTACTTTATTTATAACAGCCTTCAAAGTACACAAAGTAAATTTCGACTTTATCAGGAAATAGATTATGTAACAAGCAACTGAACAATATGCAACATACAAAAAAAGAAACTTTTTTCATGCTTATTAACTAATCAACTATTTTGTTAATTTATTATTTTTATTTTACTATTACTTCACCTAGTATTTTTTTTCTACCTGTGTGCGTGTTTTATAAGCAAGAAATGAAGTACTTGTGATGAAATATATACTTTTATATTTAGTTGAATTTTCCCACATGAGATCATAAAGAAAATGCTATCCCTTGAGCATATTGATTTTAAGTTCCCTATTTCTTATTTCGTTTTCCGCTGTCCTGAGTGTAAAAGATACGGACACTCTTTAAACATGAGTGAAGCACTTAAAACCAACGATCTATCACAGAACAACAAGAAGATTTACGTATAGCCCTTTTTATCCTAAAATTCATCAATGTCGCTTGGAAAAAAACTATTGATCGGATTTCCTGTTCTCAAAAGATTTTGAACTTTCCGATAGATTACCATAGCGTAGCCGTGTTTGCATTCCTACTGTGAGTATGCGTATATGTTCCTCAAACTCATTCATTAGTAGGTGTATATCATGTGAAATAATACATATACACTATAATGTTAACATATGATCGAATGTTCAAGTTTAATAAAATGTCGTAGTTCATCGAAATGACGATGCATGTGCAATTACGGCTTAATTAAAACCATCACGGAACAATACTGTGTAACGTATACGGAATATGTGGATTATTCTCTCTTGTACTCACAGGTAAAGCTTACCATTCTGAAACTGATACTAATCTTGTAGGGCAGAAGTTCTTAAATAAATATCGTGGAAAGAAAAAAAAGCTGTTATATTATCACTAATCTTCATACCTTTTGTTACGTATTACAGAAGATTTACAAACTTACAAATAATATCGAATCTTCTTTCTGGTCTGGAACTTCCTTGATGTCTTATAGAGAGTTCACGATGAGCAAATTAAATTTGAGTTGATGTAGATTTAATTCACATAACAGGGAGCTAGCTAGCTCTGTGGTACTCGCTAATCACATGGCGATTACAGGTCGAGTTTTTTACCGCTGAAGTTATAAAATGTATTCGTAAAAGTACTAATGTCTGATATGAATCCACTGAAGTTAAATGGTTTGTAATGCTCGAAATTTATAAATGTTCCTGGTCAAATATCTGAAGTTAATAAGCGTTAACCACAATTATAGCTTCTGAGGTTTATATTATACCAACTGTAGCAAGCCAATAATATATACTGTCTTTTGGCGCGGCGCGTTGGTTATATTTATAGCATGAAGAGAGTTTCTCGAAATTTCATTTACGCAACAATACTGATGATACATTAGTGTTTGCGTACACACATATATTGTTGATTCCTACACTCGAGAATTTTCTACAACTTTAGTGAATAGGCGGGAATTTAGCAATATAAATTTAACAGTATACGTTATGTACATTTCTAAATATAAATTTAGCTTAAACAAATATTTATTATCATTTATGTTTGTGAAATTATTTTCCGTGATTTCGCCATACAATTATCAGAAAATAAACTTGCAGTGGATTATATTGTGGATGTCTAAAAATATAGCTTAACATGTTTAGTTATTATTTGCTCAATAAATAATTCAGAAATAGGATTATCTTTATAAACAAATTATAGCTGTTTGGTTTGGTTTGAATTTCGTGCAAAGCTACACGAGGGCAATCTGCATTAGCCTTCCCTAATTTAGCAGTGGTAGACTAGAGGAAAGGCATCTAGTCAAAACCACCCACTGCCAACTCTTGGGTTACTTTTATACCAACGAATAGTGGGATTGACCGTCACATTATGATGCCCCCACGACTGAAAAAGAGAGGATGTTCGGTGACGAAGATTCGAACCCGCAGATTGCGAGTCGAGCGCCCTAACAACCACACCATGCGTTTTTGCCTAAATTTATTTTCATCACAACTTTTGTTTCCAAAGGAATAAGTAAAACCTGTCGAAATATGTTTCACAATAACAATTATTTTTTGTATAAACCAACTTGAGAGATAGCTTCATTAGTAACCGGACCCGAGTATGACCTAATTAGTGTATCAGATAGGGAATCCGAAGATCTCGGGTTCGAGGCGTGGTGCTACCAATTAACGCTTTACACGTTAACTTGTGGGTACGCCATAAGTGGCAGTTAATTCCCCCTATTCATATAAGAGCGGTCGCTTCAGACGGCAGGTGCTGCCGACTGGTTGCTTTCCCTCTGGTCCGCATTTCAAAATGAGGGACAGTTATACATGCACCATACGAGTCTTTGACCTGGCCGTTCAGGTGAGTAAATAATCGTTAGTAATCTCATGCCGATCTGACATACAGTATAAAATGTGATAGAGATAAATAAAAATGATTAACTGTTACAGTCCCAGCGAAATTTTCAAACCGGACATTTGGACATCACTCAAGTTTAGTGGAATAAAATTCGCATTGGTTGCACAGGTTCAATATACACATATATGTAGAGAGAGAAGTTTAGTACGTTATATTAAAATGATTTTGGAGCCTCACCACGTCGTTACAGCTCTTACTGCTACCGGCCATGTTGTATCTGATGGCAGTAAATCTTGATAATAGCCATGCAGCATAGTTAACATTGCCATAAATTCAGTCGTAAGGCTGTCTTATTCAAAGCGCAGCTCTCCTCCTTCCTGCTTTCTATAATCCAACTAGTGGTTTCCCAGTCCTATTTCAATCAATAGGGGCAGCGTTCGGCAACTTGACCGATATATATTCGTATAGAATATCATGAATATATGTTTCAATCCCCAGCTGTTTGAAGTATGCGACGATTAAACGAATATATCGTGGAAGCAGCCTGTGTAAACGTGACTTGTATCTCGCTTTTCCAGACAAATATACTTTTTAATTATGATATGTGTTGTTGCCTGGTACACATAGACGGTTTCTGATAATGATTTGTGTGTTCAGAAATTCTCAGCTGTTACAAAATGCCACACTTTACTTACCGCGACTGCCCTGGCGCCTCAAGCTGATACATAATCTTTTGTCTTCAAGTGCCCTTAAATACAAGGAATATCTCTATCTTGGAAATGCTAAGTTCCTGATTTGAACACATATTTATGATCTAAGTGTATCAATGTTTTGCGTTGGAAATGGATGTTATGTACCCTCATCCAAATTGATCAATTTTAGGTGGCCCAATCTACCTACAAAATGCTAAACAGTGTAAAAATGTAGTTCTGATACGTTCTGTTCCACCACGACTTTATGTCGTCTGTGGACATTCAGTGACTTGCGATTTAAAAGTCGTTTTTAATATAACTTTCTCAAACCCCTCTGTACATTGTTGTTTTAACATGCTAATGCTTTGGGTATAGAATGCAAACGTAAGTATTGTTGTTTACAATGATGATAAATAAATTTGTAGCTACATGAAATTCATATTCATAACCCCAATAAATGCATTATATATTTTTTTCAATATAGGTACATGGCTATAGTACGTCCTCTAAGTCCTCGAATGTCTAAGAAAACAGCCTTGCTAGTAACTGCATCGATCTGGTTAAGTGGTGTACTGTTAGCACTCCCAACAATTCTTTATTCAACCACAAGAACTTATCACTATGCCATAGGTGGAGACAGAACCTTGTGCTATCTGCGTTGGCCTAACGGGCATCTATCTGAGGACGACTATATGTAAGTATTATTATAATATATATTTAATCATGGAGGCACAGTGATAGATACTTTTTTATACCTTTTATTTGATTGCTGTCATGCCGGACGTAGAAGCTACGTAACTGTAGTCTTAAAGAAACTGATTGAGTTGTGAGTTTTAACAACGTTTGTGCGTGTGTTTAAAAGTTTCAGTATTACTTTATAAACATTCTAACTGGTTGTAAAGTTTTGTTTTATTTGAAGTTATTTAATAGGGTAAAATTTGCGTATATTTTTTGAAAGTTTAGGGCAAACGAAGTTACGTTATATGCTTAACTAAATGGATGACCCTCCTGGTTTAGGGTTAAGCTATGTGGTAGAACAATCAAGAACAAAGACATGTCAAAATGGAAATTTGCAAACAAAACAAGTTGACAGAGAAAATTCTCTTACAAGAGAACATAGCATCGTAATTCTTACAACGAAAGAAACTGTATAAAACGTTGTATTCGAGGCTATTAAAAATTTAGGTATTTCACCACAACGGGTGATGTCAACTTGACTTCAAATTGTGTATCCACGTGTTGAAATTTGTATTTTAGTTATATCCAATACATATGATATATATATATATATATATCCACAATATGAAATACATATAAGTGTGTGTACTTCTCAAGCGTAATATTCAAAGCCCCTCCAAGTTCGAAAGATCGTATCTTTTTATTCATATTTTTGGTTTGCGTAGGTTGGTAACGTTTTCGTAGCTTTAACACTGCTTCTTAGCCAGTAGATCTTCTTACAGTGTTACGTTAAAGTCGTTAAATTTAATATTAGCTTTTAACCCTGGAGTATTGCATAGTGACGACTGGTAAAATTTCTGACTGATCACAAGCTAATCTACGAAAACTAAAAATATAAATAAAAGCTAAGATATTTCAAACCTCGTGGTGCTTGAAATCTATTTTATAGTGTATTTATATATGTATATGTTTTTGTCCGTAATTAAACTTTAAGTACTGATAGTCTTAGTGACAGTCAGACCGTGCCCGATCAAAACACTTTCTAAGACATATTTCAGAGTGCGTTTCAATGTAAGTCGTCTTTTGTGTTATTCGGTATTGAAAAGTAACTATCGAGAAAGAAATTATTTCAAAACTTACTGTCAACTTCAGTTTTTCATAAAGTTAAAAAGAAAATTATAACAAGAAGGAGCTATAATTTTGAAAATTGAAACTAGTGCCAAAACCATTCAAGAGCAGTGTGTTTATCCTTGCTATGTACCGATAACATAGGCCTGCAAATTTATACTTCATAAAAATTGTTTTAGTTTTAATAACGAATTTTCCATAATTCAGTTATGCATATTTCCAAAATAATCGTCTTTTTTATATTACGTAAGTATTTTTTACAAATCGGGAAGAAAAAACTCTTACTTAGATCAAATTATTATTTCGTTTACTACAATGAAATTTGTTTATTATTATGTCTGTTAACAAAAATACAAAAAAAATGGAAAAAAATGGAAGAACATTAATGTCAAACGAATATACATCCTCATTTGTACTGATTTTTATTGTGAAGTTTATGTCTTTTAGTCTCAAACGTACGTGTTGTGGTCTTTCTTTTATGTATTGCTCTATGACCTTTTGTGAAAAATCTGTATGCGATGGAGAAAAATGGATATCATTTTCGGATTCAACGTACAGAAATTACTGTAGAACATGTAAAAAGTTCAAGACAATAAAACCATCGCAGGCCTATGTAATTGGTGTAACCAAGTGGTTAACGTGTCGTACTGTGAATCTGAGAATGCATGGTTTATGTTCCGTTACCGCAAACTAGCACTCCGCACTTTGAGGCCGTGAGTGCGTTAAAGAAGTGACCGTCAAATATTACTATTCAAGAGTCGGCAGTTTATGCTGTTAACGAAATGCCTTCCTTCTAGACTGTCAGTTTAAAGTTAGGGATGGCTAGCGCAGATAGCTCTTGTGTAGCTTTGGCTAAAATATTCGATACGAATAATATTCCATACTCTTTCGGAAGTTTCCAAATTTAAGGAGGGGTCACGATTACTCGCAGTTTCAGTTAGCGATTTCAGACCAGAAATTATATTGATCGGTAGTTGAAGTAACGTCACATTAAGACTGATTAACACATCTTTCTGTACAGATCCTAAACAGATTTTCGAAAAGAACTGTATAGTAGTATCTCAACACTTCATACATCTTTTTTTATGATGGCCAATAAATAGCTAGAAATGACGAAATTCGAGCAATAAACCCGTTACGAACTTACTTTTTTCTGCTAATGCTACCGATTTTTACTGTTCAGTAGGTTATTCGCATACATTACAGCCACACTTAAGACCTTTGTTTATGATGCGCTAGTAGATGAAGAGTTGTAACATTTTTCCCAGCTAATGTCGTAAACTTATATTGTTCAAATGAATATTTGCTTGCAAATATCACTCTTTGTTAGATGCAGTTAAATATTTGCATGCAAATTTGCGTTGGAGAAAGTGACAAATATCCATAATGAAGATATTTTTATGGTCTTATAAGAATTACTGCGTTGGAAATAATGAAACACGACTATTAAAGTTCCCAAAGTTACACTATATTTTGTTTGCGAATGTCACGAATATTCAATAACAATCTAACTTCAGACCGATGAAATTTTTATATATTGCGCTTCGTTGCCGACGAGACCTTTCGCTCATCAAGTCTGATTGGCTGCAGTACACAAAACCTCAATCGAAACGCTATTTATATCCGTCGTTTATGAAACATTAAATCTTAGGTGTAACTCCTGATCTGTTAATCAGTAGTTTGTGTGATATAACATTAAAATAAGACTGACAAAAACTATAATCACATCCTTCTTTATTGGCCTTAAACTGATGTGGAAGTAACACAATGTCAGACACATTACAAGAGTAATTAAGATCAGGATATATAGTAGAGTTCATTTATAAGATACTGAAGTAGAAGCAGAAACATTTCGACGGCCATATCGGGCTTAACAGTAGTGGTGAAAGAATTTTTCTTAGGGACTGGTGAGTAAAGGATCAATTTTAGAATGTAGGTTAAGACCAACAGTGGTGGATGTTATAATGTAGATCGGGACTAGCAGAGATAAATGTTATAAAGCATATCAAGGTTAAGTAAAGAATTATGAACTTGAACAGCATACAAAATGATCAAAAATGGTAGTGAACTAATAAGCGAGATAAAATAAAACATTTGTCACATATGAAGGCAACAGCTTTACAAAGAAATATGAAACGAACACATTAATATTTAAACGGAAGTTTCACGCTGTAATTAACTTTCTTTTGGCCTGTGGCTTATTTTGTTTTGATAGATACAACGTGTTCTTCCTTATACTGACCTACATAATTCCAGTGATGGCCATGGCGATAACCTACACTAAAATGGGGCTTGTATTATGGGGAAGCAGAGCGATAGGAGAGACAACAGAGCATCAAAGAAATGTTGTTTTATCAAAACGCAAAGTGAGTCATGTTATTATTGTAACGAATTTTTTATGTATTTATGTTAATATGGACGTTGTTTAAATTAAGTTTATATTTAAAAACATGCATAGCTTGTAGTGTTAGATATGTATTGCGAAACTCCCGCTTATTCTCCAAGGTTGTAGAAGATTATTGAGAATGAGAATCAACAACATATCTATATACGTAAACGTTTAAATATAGCTCAGTGTTGTTATGTAATCTGAATTTTCTAGAAAATCTTCCCACACCTATAATTATAACCAACGCGACACGCCAATGAGTGTTTATTAGTAGTTCATTATAATCAGTGTGCTTAAGGTTTTATGTTCTCCCTTTTCAAAGTCTATATTATGAAACTCTAATAATGGTATAATTTCCGAGGAAGCATTGTAATTAAATCTATTATAATATAAATTTATGATTTAGTGTATACCTCTAATTCACTTTAACTATTCTATTTTGAAAATTAGAACTTCCTTTGACATTAGCAAGTACTTACGTTATGTAATTATTTATCTATTGTGTTATTTTATTACTATTACAATGAAGATTACCAATATTTATGTACAAACCATATATAAGACGTAGCACCAAAGATCACTTATTTTAATCTGCCTAACTGTCCTATGGTTTGATTCATTAATAACAAAATTATTTAATAAATCAAACTATATTACACTTCGAATATAACATACCAGTATACTTTAAACTGGTATTACGTATGGCTATCAGTCACTCACATTTAAAATACCAGTGTACTTACACTTTTAGAAAGCTACCACTTACTCAAATGTTAATACATCAGCGTTCTTACACCTGCGGTCAATATGTCTTTCCCCAACACAAATATTATGATAAAATCTCCAATTAAAGGCCTGACTTTTCAATTAATAAACTGGTAACTCAATAAATGGCGTAGACATAGACGTAATAAGGGACAGTTTTGTTATAAGAAGATTTTTCTCTAAACTTGTTAAAGCAGTCTCATACTAATCCCATCAAAACCAACTGTTTTGTATTACGTATCATGTTACGTCAAATAAATTTAGAATATGACAATACTGCTGTTGGTCAATGTTTCTATTCAAGGCACCCTTCTACATAACCTTTTTGAAAAGCATTATGAATCTGACACTGTTAACATAATGATGTTTTTCAATATAAGGTTTCTGACAGACATTTAAAGAATTGTGTATTCTTTATCATTAGGATGCATATCTAGCTGTAGGGGCACTCAGTAGAGTGCATACATACCTCCGCCACGAAGCGTTGGTCATATTCCGTCTTCATGAAATACGAAAATGTGTCTATATGTCCGTCATTATCAACGAATACGGACCAGTTTTGGCAGAACAATGAGGCAGGCTTATTCTACATAAGCCCACGCGGTTTTATGAAAATCCGAGTAAAAATAGTGTGAAAAATTGGTCCCCATGTTAACAAATAAGAATTTTTTGGATTTTCGTGACCTTGACCCTCCAAAAACTAATCACTTCTAAGTTGGATCATGATCCAAATGCATACGAACTTTCGTCCAAACACATTCAACCATTTTCAAAAAATCTTACTGACAAACACACATACAGGGGTGAAAATATTACCTCATCACTTTCAGTGGCGGAAGTAATAATATAATTCGATAACTCATTAACGGATAACACTTCACACAACTAAATTTACTTAAATAGTTTAAAATACATCCGTTCTAACCATTTATAAATTTCCAGAATATATTTTAAGCTTTTAAAATTAAAATAATCAACTTCACTTTTTTTTTATTACAAAACATATTTTGATTTTCTTTATTTTAGGTAGTTCGAATGTTGATTGCTGTAGCGTTAGTGTTCACCATTTGTTGGCTACCTTATCACGTATATTTTATCTACACCTATCATCAACCAGAAATCCTTCAAACTGATTACATTCAACACGTTTATTTGGTTTTTTACTGGCTGGCCATGTCTAACTCAACTTACAACCCCATCGTTTATTACTGCATGAATACAAGGTAAGTAAAAGTACCAATGCAAGAAGTATGTTTTCGAAGAATATGTAATTTGAAGGTTTCAACAAATGTTAAATTAGTAATGTTTATGTTAGTTATAATTGTCACTGTCAGAAGAAGAAAAAACACTCAGCAAAATCAACATGGTTCACAGTCTAGAAAATGTATACACGATCTCCGTGTATTATTTTAATTTTCGCTAAAACAAAAACTCTGTGTATTAAAGACTTTATTCCTAAACACCACTTAGTGTTAGAAATTAATATTTCATACAAATTTATATCTTTCAAAAGAGCAGTCAGCTATGTATAACCATGGAATACTTCATTGGTACGTAAATATTCTACCATTTTCTTTGTGGCAAGCAACCGTTCATTGTTTGTTACATTATGCAATGAGAGAGAGAGAGAAACATGAGGGAATCCTCAATAGCCGCGGCACTTGAAATTAAATTAATCTGTGAGACCTTTTTTTTCTTTTCTATTAGCTATATTTTTGTGCGCCAGCAATACCAAGCGTGGGGCGCGCGTATACCCCATTCGATTTTATTACTCATCAGGATCTCTACCAGCCTAAGTTCACATTAAAATTATGAGCTAAAAGTATTTGGAAAAAAACAAAACAACTCTATGAGCCGCTATTCCGCGGCTAAAAAAAAATAAATAAGTTGTATTTTAAGGTGGTATTCAAATTAGTATTTTTATTATTGATGCATTCATTAAAGTTGTACCCTCTTCCAGTGGCTCAGTGGTGAGACTGAAGGCTTATAAAACTAAAAACCGAGTTTCGATGCCCGTGGTGTAGCTTTGTCCTTAATTACAAAAATTAAAGTTACTATAAACGCAAATTAACTGCAGATGTTTTGATATATTTCTGTTAATTTATCATTTCGGCTGGAAAGTATAGGTGTGTAGTGTAAAAAATAGCATTTTAAATCTATCTTTTGTCGCTCACAAGTTACTGCCCAATAAGCGCTTTCTTCAGTACCAGAACTCAGTTAGACTGGCTGATGAAAGACAAAAGATGCTATTAATTGACATTTATACACGTAATATAATACTTTAAAAGCTACAGCTTAAAAGCCGAAATTCGGTGAAACATTGTAAAAACCAATAGGTATAAAATTGTTATAAAAACATGTTAATCACAGATGTTGTTGTTTTTCCCACGTTCCTCTTTTTTTTAATGACTATTGGGAGACAGAATTTTTATGCACCTCTGATTTCGAATCGCAATGGACTTCTGCAGGTAACTTATTTTTATAACAATTTTTAGACCTATTGAATTTTCCAATATTTCGCCGGCTTTCGTCGTTTAAACCGTAAATTCATTAAAGTTATTGGAAATTACATCCTCCCGTTGCACATATAATAGTTTGTTTTTGCATATCGGAAATTGTTGTTCATAATATTAGAATGTTCACTGAAACGACTTACAGAGCCATCTAACGGTTAATTGAAAATATCCTTAATTTTACCTTGATCGTTAAGACTTTTCTTATAAAACAAATTCGGCTCGCCCTTTAAGATGTTTCTATCTAAATTAGGTTTTAAAATGAGATTATAATTACACTTAAGAATATATATTTAATTCATTTTTCATCTCCCAACAAGTTATGACAAAAGTAAGATATATTTTTGGAAGCGCAATATTTCACATTTGAGTTTATCTTCTGGAGCTTGAACTATTCTAGTTACAAACCAACTTATAAGTTTATAATCAAAACTCTGAGCTTCATCATACATACAATTGTTCATTCCTTTAAATTTATTGAGCTCTTTACAAATCTAAGGTTGAATGACAGTAAAAGTGGATTTGTGATATATTTCAGCCATATATGCTGCATGTTGTTTAAAACATGATTCTTCAGAGAAAAATCAGCACCTGGATTTTCAACAGATGTTTAAATTTCCCATACTTAAAAAAATTAATCAGCAAAACTTGCATTGTCAAACACCATAGAAGAATCGTTGTAGTAATTTAAACAGTGTTTATAATCGTTAAACTAAGATTTTTTATTATTCATACATAATGTGTAGAAGTTCATGGACAAGAAATTTTATGCCGTGATCTACATAACTGAAATATAGCGAACTCCATAACGTTCGTAGTTACATCACACTCAAGGTATAAATAACTAAGACATATAAATATCATTGAAATATCAAACATGTTAATATGTAACTGCATATAAACAACCAGTAAAGTTAAATTTTCCTTTGTTATGTTGTTATTTATCCCTGTGCTTTAATTGCACAAGACACTGGCTATTATGACTATATAATAATCTAATACTATAAAACAGAGTGTGTACCTGTCTGTCTGTCTCTCGGTCACGTACTGATGTCATAGAAACGTATTACGTAATTTCCGTAGTTTTGGCTTCCTGTTAATCAGAAGCGAGTAGTCTAAGATCGATCGAAAATTAAAGATATATTTGGAAATGTACAAAGAATTGCACCTTTTTCGAAATTTGAAAACGTATCTTTGTTAAATCATCGAGTTACCTCAGAAAGGCCGTAAATATACTTTAGTAGACATTTTATACAATATATGAAAATCTTATCAAAGTTTTTTAAAAGTTCTAACGCTAAGTCGTAGAATAATATTAGAAAATTATTTATTGATAGTATTAAGTGCGGTAAGATTTAGCCTCAACTGAATTAAAGCAAAAAACTTACACAATTTACAATGTTAATTTATCTCTTTATCGAATATAGGCTGTACTGAAAAGGCTTAACTAATGTTAGGACTAAGACAAGTGGATTTATAAATTTCACTGCGATTAGAATTATTTTGTATTACTCTAAAAATCCTGTATTTAAAAAAGTACTGTAGCAATAAAGATACTAATTTGGCCGCAAATGTTTTGCGTAAGTAAATTTCGTTTTTAGAAACTTTTGTTTGTATATTGTCTCAGTCAAAAAGGGATCATTTGTTTTTTGTTTCAGAATTTATTCGTAAAACTACATAAATGGTTATCTGCGAATATCCGTCTCTAATTTTGAAGTGATAGACTGGAGGGAAAACAATGGCTAGTCAATGTCACCCAATGCCAACTTTTGGCTACTCTTGTCTAACCAAATAGTGGGATTTGACTGTCACCCCGTAGCACCAGTGTGCGTAGCGCAGTTTTTGTTTTGTTTTTAGCGGAAACTAGATGTAAGCGATAGAACAATAAATCCCCAGTGCGGCAATGTAACCACTGAACCAGGGAGTTTGGAATTGCGTGGATGTGGATGTTTATAGCAAAAGGGCTATCTGCTGTGTCCATCGAGGGGAATCGAACCCCTGATTTTAGCGTAATAAATCCTTAGACATACCACTGTCCCACAGGAGGACGTTTTGAATTGCTTAGCCGGGTTTATCCCTAGGTGGCTCGGAGATAATCCTGAATGCTTATAACGATATAACTTGAGGTTCAATCTCCGCATTTGATATGGTGCAGATAGCCCCTTTTTAGCTTTACGTTAGATCAAAAAATACTTGAACAGACAGGCCTAAGTTCTAGAGCAGTTAGAGAAAAGTTTCATTTCTAGATATATGAAAGGTAATTTGTTGACGATTTTTTTAAAAAAATTAATATTTCATAAATATCTAAACCTTTCCAAAGAGCAAGCAGATATGAATAATCATGAAATAATGCACTGGTACGTAAATATTTGACCATTTATTTTTGTGACAAGCAACCTTTTATTACAAAAAAGAGGTACAGAAAAAAAGAAAATATTATTTCGTCGAGACAGCCTAAATAACAACACCTAGACGTACTTTTTCATATTTCTTGTACATTTTAATATTTCTAGCTAGAAGTATTTGTTTTTTTTTACTGGACATAACCAAAAATTGCCCATTACATTGTAGAGAGCTGAGTGAATTAATAAATTGCAAAATATTAGATTATTGAGACTATAAGAATATCAGCTCGTGAGTCAGCAGTAACTCGAAAGGCTTATGAACGCTAACAATCGGGTTTCGATACCTGCGGTGAAAACAACACAGATAGCCCACTGTGTGGTTTTGCGCTTAGTAACAAATAACAGATTATAGTAATGACCATTAAAATACATGAATATCTGATAAAAATACAAATTCGTTAGCGGTGCACGTTGAAAAGGCAATGGCATAGTGATAAATTGACTTGGATCACATATAGAAGGAAAACCTAAAGTAATTTGTTCCTGAAAGCTTTTTATTTATTTTTTTTATTTTAGGTATCTCGGCAAAAGTTACATAGAGTGGCTTAGAACGTATACTTTATATCACAAACTACAATGCCCCCAGTGGCACATCGGTATGTCTGCGGACTTCCAACGCTACAAACCGGGTTTCGATACCCCTGGTGGGCAGAGCACAGATAACCCATTGTGTAGCTTTGTGCTTAACTTTAAACAAACACAAACTACAAAAATATATTTGCGTATATTTTTGAACGTAAAATTACGTAGAGATCGCTGAGAAAACCCATTCAATAAAAACAACAATTCACATAAGAAAGTTAAAAAAATGCTTTTAAACAAAATCATAAGAAAGTCATTAGAACAATCATTATTATAACATTGTGCATAGCTATAAAGTTTTACAGTATGTCTGCCAAGATGGTTAATGTTGAGTAAAATTGGTTTATGACTTTCAATAACTCTTCAGATTGTTTTGCTATTATGATAACGTTAAAGTACAGCTCACTTTCACCAGATTTAATCTGCCATGATAAATTTAAAGCCTAACGTTGATGATTTAACAGGCTCCACTTTCAGAGGTAATATATATGTGTGTGTGAATAGTTATATTTTTAAAGCATATGAATCAAAACAAATACGATTTTACGTATGAATAAAACAATAACAACTAATGTAATGTCACAATAATTGTATGTGAAGTTAAATTAACATATAACAACGCTTTTTACAACAAAAAAAAACAGAAAAACTGAGAAAGGATGTTATAAACTTTTTAGTATCAATTTGACTTTATACATTGAACGAAGATAATACCATACGGAT